GGAAGGCTATATACTTCTTTTTACAGCAATAAAATTTTGGCACCTAGTATTTAACTGTTTAGTTCTAAAAATGATTTAAAGACTCTCATAGACCAAAAAATTGTATTACCTTAGAAATAGTTCACTAATTTACTGTAGTTTTTAAAAATCTCAGTTTTCACTTATCTTTTAAGAAAACGTAACAGTCATCTTAGGCTGAGAAACATCTTTTAACTGACATTGAAATGATCTTTATTTTGTTTTATTTTTTCTAGAAGATTTTTATTTATTTATTTGACAGAGATAGACACAGTGAGAGAGGGAACACAAGCAGGGGGAGTGAGAGAGGCTGAGCAGGGAGCCTACTGTGGGGCTTGATCCCAGGACTCTGGGATCATGACCTGAGCCGAAGGCAGACACTTAACCACTGAGCCACCCAGGCACCTCTTATTTTATTTTTATTTATTTTTTTAAAGATTTTTATGTATTTGTCAGAGACAACACACAAGTAGGGGGAGCAGCAGGCTCCTGGGTGACCAAGGGGCCCTGTGCGAGACTCTTGGTATCACAACCTGAGCTGAAAGGAGACACTTAACTGACTGAGCTACCCAGGTGCCCTTAGAATGATCATTTTAAAGTATGTTTGTACACATGAATTCTTCATTGCTTCTTGAACCTTTACTGGAAAGTTCAGGAGGAGATGTAACGTAAATATAATTAATGCCTTACAGACCAAGAAAATAAAATATATTTTTCATTGTAATTCCAGATTAATTTTTACTTTAATTTCTTGGAATCTCATTTAAATATTAGAATACCAAGGTACCTTTAAATAGTAATCAGAGTTATGAAATTCTGAGATGATTATTTCCAAAAGAATTCATTTATAGAAGCATAATGTTTTTCATAATAAACATCCTGTTTTCAAATATAGACAGTGATCGCCAATATAATGCTGTTTCAGAAGCTGGATGGTATAGACTGAGTTTGGATTACTCCTATTCACATTCTGACTTTGCCACCCAATGTCCCAGAATATTTATTTGTAAGATGAACAAGGTAACGTTCATACTAATCTCCGAGGAATTTTACAAAGGCAAAGTGAGAATATAAAGTCCTTAAAACCTTAAAAAAATAAGGTTAAATGGGAATATAAAATGTTCAAAAATATGAAGTATTTAAAATTTAAAAATAATACAAAAAGTGTCTGAAGAATATAGTCAGTTTCTTTTGCTTTCATTCTCTTCTCACCCCTCAACCATAAGGTAAAAGATAAACTCCCTGTGAATGTGATTTTTTCTGTTTAGTTCACTTCCGAATCCATAGCACCTAGAACTGTGCCTGGGCACAGAGTAAATATTTGATGAATGAATGAATGAATGAATGAATGTTGCTCTACTTTTTTTTTTTTAAAGATTTTATTTATTTATTTGGCAGAGAGAGAGTGATCATAAGCAAGCAGAGAGGCAGGCAGACAGGGGGGAAGCAGGCTCCCCACTGAGCAGAGAGCCCGATATGGGACTTGATCCCAGGATCCTGGGATCATGACCTGAGCGGAAGGCAGAGGCTTTTAACCCAGTGAGTCACCCAGGTGCCCCTATTGCTTTACTTTTTAAACTTGCTGTCTCGTGATTAGAAAATTTGTTTTGAACATTTATCTTTATTATGTATTCCTTCTTTTTAAGTTGGTCAATGAAATCTTATAATTTTATTTTCCATTTTTGCTGTCTTATATATCTGCTTATTTACAAGGTTTTTTCTAAAGGATGGATTAATTTAGCTTTTAATTTTTAATTAAAGTAATCTAGTATCAGGTATTTCCATCTGATTTGTAAAGTGTAGAGGGAATTGCAATAACTGCTAGTGAATTTCTTTTTGTGTCACTTTTGAATGGTGCTAAAAATATGAAGATACAAACACACTAAATTTTCTGTTATTCTTAGTGCTTCCTTTGAAGTGGTCAAATTGTTCAAGTAACTATTCTAGTAGCTCCTTTTAAGAATCCCTTTTAGAGCAAGTTTACTAATTGGACTAGAAATTCAGGCTAACACTTATGCTGATAGAAGAGCATCACTTGATATGATGACCTTTTCTTCCCTTCTGTTTGGTTTTCAGTTCTCTTTATCCATGTGTTCATCCCCTCTTTCCTTTTCTGTGATTTATCTCTGACCTGGTCTCCTTCCCCTTAGGAAGCTGTGACCCTGCGTAAACTTGTTCTGCTGAGTTGTCTACTAGCTCTGATGTGCCTGGAGGGGCAGTAATTGGGTAAATCACTGAGACACTGAATAGCCAGATTGTAAATGGGGGATTCTGTGATCTGAACAAAGAGAAAACGGACCTAGAAAGATGGTTATGCAAACAAACTCCAAGACATATAATGGTGCATTTTTGTTCCTTGTCTCAATTTATGTGATGCCAATACAGTTTCCAATAATTTCTTGTAATTTTTTTTTAAACTAAAAAGAAAATGTTTTGTTTACCCAGTCAGCGTTTTTGAGGCCATGTTAAGTGCTTGGTTCTTTAGGGAGTGGTAATACCAACGGAAGTAGTCACAGTCCCTGTTCTGAAGCAGTTCACATTAGAGTGTACGGGATCAGCCAAATAGAAGAATATACACGGGGTAGGTGAGCATCAGGGAATCTAGGATTGGTTCTCTCTGTGGTGGAGTCACTTTGGTGCTGTTAGGGAGAACTTTGTGGACTATATCATGCTTGGATTTCAGAATTTATTTCCTAATTGGGAGAAACAAAATCTACCGGGTGAGGATAATTCTAGGAGAGCGTGTGCTATCATTACCTGAGATTGTTCAGACAAGTAAAATATTCGTAAGATCGAATGGGCTTGTTCTTCAAAAACCAGGAAACAATACCTTATGCGTACAGCCAAGAAATTGCCTAAAAATTTGTGCTCAGTTGCCTGTTCATGTTGTCAAGCATACCATTCGAATATAGAATGGATTGCTCTTATCGTACAAAACCTCACTAACTGGGCAAACATGGGTGGTTACTCGCTGGGAAAAATATGGTTTAAAATCCTCAAACAAAATATAGTGCCCTTTTTTTTATTTAAAGATTTTATTTATTTATTTGACAGACAGAGATCACAAGTAGGCAAAGAGGCAGGCAGAGAGAGAGAAGAGGAAGAAGCAGGCTCAGTGTGGAGTAGAGAGCCTGATGCGGGGCTCAATCCCAGGACCCTGAGACCATGACCTGAGCTGAAGGCAGAGGCATTAACCCACTGAGCCACCCACGTGCCCCCAAATATAATGCTTTTATTAGTGAATATTTTTATACTAATGTTTTCATATATATCTGATGGTAATCAATAGGGATTCTATTAAAGGCAAATTTAATTTTAATTTTATGTTAATGAAGTTTTGCATATATCTAATTCCTTATCCATTTGGGGACAAGATTATAGAATAGACACTGGATTTAGTCATTGTTTTGGCACATATATGATTACTTTACCTTTTGCTAATAGCTTACTACTACTAATAATAAATGCTAAGTAGCATAGTAATTAATGAAGCCGATGCTCATAAAAAGCACTTAAATGGACACACTACAAAGTTCAAAACTTGATATGACAAGTGCAGAACCAACAGAAGATGTTGAAATCCCAAAGAAAATTCTTTGAAGGACATTACTCTTTTTTTTGGTTTTGTTTTGTTTACCTTTTTGGTAAAATGTCTGTCATGTTGATATTAATAAGAAAAGAAATAGGAAATATATGGTAATTTAAAGGAAATGAAGACTAACATCACCCCTATAAATATGCCTTAAGTAAACTCTTTTTTGTTTATTCCTTCCTATTTTTTTCCTATTATCTGAATTTGTTTAAATTATTGTAATCATGGCCTCTATGCACATGAGTTCACAAAGCACCTATTTGTATATAGGATCAAGTGGCAAGATATATATTAAGGTGTTCCTCAGTTTTTTTTTTTTTCCCCCATAGCAGCTCTGATGGTAAAAGTAGATTAAAGACATCCCAGGATCTTTCTAGAAGTATCTGTTGTGGGGGTGCCTGGGTGGCAGAGTCCATTGAGTGTTGGACTCTTGGTTTTGGGCCAGGGCATGATCTCAGGGTTCTGGGATTGAGCCCGGAGTCAGGAGGCCTGCCTCACCCTCAGCGAGGAGTCTGCTTGAGGATACTCTCCCTCACCCTCTGCCCCTCCCCCCCCATGTGCGTGCTCTCTTTCTCCCTCACTCTCTCTCCAAAATAAATAAATAGATATTTTAAAAAATAAATAAAGGAAGATGTAAGTTTTAAAAATAAGTTCTATGAGGGTGCCTGGATGGCTAAGTTGGTCGAGCGACTGCTTTTGGTTTGGGTCATGATCCCGGAGTCCTGGATGGGGTCCCGCATCGGGCTCCCAGCTCCACCAGGAGTCGTCTTCTCCCTCTCACCTTCTCCTCTCTCATGCTCTCTCTCACTCTCTCTCTCTGAGAGAAATAAATAAAATCTTAAAAAAAAAATAAGTTCTATGAGTTCTAAGGAATTCTCTTGTTTCTTGCAATAGACACTTACCTTTTCTTTTCTTTCTTTTTTTAAGATTTATTTATATGAGAGAGAGCATGAGCGGGAAGAGCAGAGGGAGAGGGAGACAGTCTCAAGCAGTCTCCACTGAGACGGAGCCTGCCCTGCAGCTCGATCCCAGGACCTGAGATCATGACCTGAAATGAAATTAAGAGTCAGTTGCTTAACTGGATGAACCACCCAGGTGTCCCTTGAATCTTTTTTAAATTAGGAAATTATTTAAATTCCCACATCTATCAAATTCATTAATTATTTTCAGTAAATGATACAGTAAATTAGATAGTTGAAGAAAATGTTTCTGAAGTAAATAGAATTTCATTTTTTATACCATGGTTCTGCTGCTATACCTCAAGCATTGTGAGAAAAAAGGCACTTGACCAATAATAAAACATACGTTAAGTATACGCAAATAGTCCTAAAAGTATAACCATAAAGTATTATTTTTTCTCATCATCTGATGTATTTTTTTTTTTTTACAGAAATGTTTAAATGTTCAGTAAATCAGAGGAAAAGAACATGGACTTTTAGCAACTGAAGAGCAAATTAAGGTAACTTTTTTAGATAATTTTTGCCAATCATAATTGTTAGTAATTTCAAAGTGTATTTAATATGTTTTCATTGAAGTTAATGTATGTTTTTACAAGGATCATATTGAAAATTGTTTAATGAGTTACTTAAATGGAATTTTGTATATTTTGGGGAAAACAAATTTGACATTTCTTGGGACAAATAAATTTACATATTTAGATTTATTTGTCCCCAAGAATTATCAATTTTATTTTCTAAAAAATATACAAAATTCCACTTAAGGAGGTATACTTTAGCTAGATGAACAATAAATGTGTTATGAAAAATAATTTATATTACATATATTAATAACATAAATTATTTGCATCTTTTTCAGCAAATCATTTGAAGGCATGTAGGCCTTTATTCCTTTATTCTTGAAGTTACCATGTTAATTTTTGTAAAGTGACTTTGTACTATCTAGAATACAAATTATTATAGTATCTAGTACTATCTAGGATACAAATTATTATAAATATACAGCTTAAAAGCAGAAATACCAGTTTTCTTACCCACATTAAATCATGTTCATTGATTTTGAATTGTTTATATAATGGTATGTATTATAAATTATTATGTCTATTTTCAAAGATTCTGTACCTTTTACTCGAACAGTACCGAGTGATTTAAGAATATAAAAAGACTATAAAATATTGCACTCACCTTTGTAGGCACTAAAATTTCCAGTTGATATTCTTCTTTTAGATATTTTTGCCTTAATTTCTTTGCCACTGCTTTCTTCAGCACATTCATTTACATGGGCAAGCATTATTTCCTATTTCCCACAGCAGATATGATTGAATCTACTTTGTGTTTACTAATATATCTATACATGAACATATAAACTTTACAGATATTCTTTTACAGTGTTGAATGTGAAATGGGTTTTTGGTACTTAGTGATACAAATTAGTTAAATTAACAAATTTAACAAAAGGCTGATTCAATAATCTTTTTCAAAAAATTCAGCTGTGCATTCTTACGTATGCTTACTCTGCAGAAGTTAAATGCTGGTAGGAAAGATCTGAAACTCTATAGAAATTTCTATATACATTTTATAAGAGTTACTGGCAAACTATTAAGGAAACAAAAGTGGGAGCAAATCACTTTAGTTGGAGGCTCTTGAAATCTTCATAGAAGTTATGAAATTCACTGAGGGGTTGTTGAGGTAGAGAAGGTGAGGTCATGCATTCAAAGACAACAGAAGAGCTTATGAAAGAGTACACAAAGGAACAAGGAATGGCCATCGAAAGACTGATATTTCTAATGTTGCTAAAGGATTACTCATGCAGTGAGACAGTGTTAGGAGATGAGTCTGGAAAAGTAGGTTTGGAGCCGCCAATGTAAGTATCATGTTTGCCGGACTAGAGCTTAATTTTCCAGCCAAGACATCTCCAGAGTGCTTCAGGGTATTTATAGGGTTGTGAGAAGAACATTTCAGAACCTTTCCTTGATGCTCATTTTCATTGCAAACTATAAGAAAGAACTAAGACCTTATAATTAACATAACAACTACAGGCACCCAACTATGAAGTTTCTAGAGGATTCATGGGCGGTTTTACAGTGTTAAATGATTAACAGTGTTTGTTTCATTGTTTTTTAATTGTGATATAATTTATATACCATTAATTCACTCTTTTAAACATTATACAATTAAGTATTTTTTAGCATATTCACAAAGTTGTGTAACTATCAATACTGTCTAATCTGGAATATTTTAATCTAGATTGTACCCATGAGCAGTTACTCACTTTGGCCTCTTTGCCCAATTCTCTGGCTACAGCTAATATACTTTCAGCTTCTATGGATTTATCATAAAAAATGGAATCATACAATATGTGGCCTTTTGTACCTACCCTCTTCATAATGTTGTCAAGTTTTACCCTTGTTCTGTAAATCAGACGTAATTTCTTTTTGTGTCTGAATAATATTCTGTTAGATGGACATACCATGTTTTGTTTATCCATTTATTAATTGATGGACGTCTTTTTTTTAATGCTTTTTGTCTATTATGAATAATGGCTGCTATGAACATTTGTATACAAGTTTTTAAGTAAGCATATATATTCATTTCTCTTGGATATATACTGGTGGTAAAACATATGGCAACTAAATGTTTTACTTTTTTTTTTTTTTTAAGATTTTATTTATTTATTTGACAGAGAGAGAGCACAAGCGGGGGGGAGTGGGAAAGGGAGAAACAGACTCCATTCTCAGCAGGGAGCCTGATGTGGGGCTGGATCCCAGGACACTGGGTTAATGACCTGAGCTGAAGGCAGATGCTTAACCAACTGAGCCACCCAGGTACCCCTGAAAGATTCACTTCGAAGTTTTTGTATTTCCGTATCAATTTTTGATCACTTTATGTAAATTTATATTTGCTAGATTTTCTTAAATCAAGATTTTTAAAAAATATTTATTTATTTATTTGAGAGAAAGAGAGAGCATGAGAGGGGAGAAGGTCAGAGGGAGAAGCAGACTCCCCATGGAGCTGGGAGCCTGACGTAGGACTCCATCCTGGGGCTCCAGGATCGTGACCTGAGCCGTAGGCAGTCGTTCAACCAACGGAGCCACCCAGGCGCCCCATTAAATCAAGATTATTAATGAATAATTTATATATAGTAAAATCACTCTTTTAAATGTACAATTCTGTCTTGACAAACACATAAGGCTGTGTAAGGACCACCTAAGTCAAGATAGAGAATATATCTGTCACCCTGAAATTTCTCTGTGCCCTTCCGTAGTTTCCACTTCCTACCATTACAGCTGGAAGAATCTCTAGCTTCATTCTATTTTAGTAATGAAATAAAAAACCAGTCCTGAGAGAAAGCAGAGCAAAGGAATAAATTTTAGAGACAGACACTATATATGACCTTGGAGGTGTTGCTTATCCTCTCTGGACTTCAATTTCCTTATTTTTAATATGGGGTTAATAACAGAATATACTGTATATCATTTAAAATAGAGTTAGGTATATCTAAACACTTAAAAATACTAAGTGCTTAAACTGTAATTTTTTGAAACTCAAAGGAAGGATGTACTGGAGAAAATATAATTTCCATAGTAAATTATCTCTGAATGGATTTTTATCCATTGAAATATTCATCCAATAAAAAATATTTTATCCGTCCAATAAAAATTTATTTATTTATTTATTTATTTGACACAGAGAGAGAAAGAGAATGCACAAGCTGGGGGAGGGGTAGAGGGGAAAAGGAGAAAATCTCAAGCAGACTCTATGCTGAGCATGGTGCCCCATGTAGGGCTCGATCTCACCACCCTGAGATCATGACCTGAATTGTAATCAAGAATTGGATGCTTAACTGACTGAGCCACTCAGGTGCACCTCTTTGAAAGGATTTCACCACAAAATGTCAAATCAAAGTTTTCAAAATAATTAAAAATATGTAAAGTAATATGTAATAATACGACTTTTCAGAAGCATCATTTTCAGGGGCACCTGGGTGGCTCATTGGGTTAAAGCCTCTGCTTTCGGCTCAGGTCATGATCCCCGGGTCCTGAGATTGAGCCCCGCATCAGGCTCTCTGCTCAGCAGGGAGCCTGCTTCTCCCTCTCTCTCTGCCTGGCTCTCTGCCTAGTTGTGATCTGTCAAATAAATGAATAAAATCTTTAAAAAAAAGAAGCATCACTTTCAGAAAACTTTTGCTTAATAGCTTCATTCTTCCAATTCCTTGGACATAATCCTTGGAGTGAATCTTGAATTTTCTTTTGTACACATCGCACATCCATCAGCATATACCATCTGACCACTTACGAACACCTTCTTATCTGTTACCTGGGTCCAGGTCACAATCCCCTCTTGCCTAAGGAACTACAACAGCCATCACTTTTCATCACTGCATCATTTTATGCAGAGCGCTCAGAACCCTGTTCCAGTTTCAGTGTCCTCTGCACTCCAACTATCTGACTTCATTGCCATTTGCTGAACACGCTGGGTCATTCTACTTGGGATCCTTAAGCATATTGGTTCCTCACCCAATCACTATTCTCCCCATACTTAGTTCCTAGGCTTTAAATATCCTCTTCTCATGGCAGCCTTCCCTCAACATCCTATTTAAAATTGAAATTGCCTGGGGGTACCCCTCTGCATGCCCCTCCTGCTTTATTTTTCTCCGGAAATATTATCATAGTACACACAATTTTGTTCATTGTCTCTTCTCATTAGTAAATAGATTCTAAATATTTTCTCTTTATAACATCCTTTTAGTTTCTATTTTTAAGTGTCTTTATATTGGACAACAGACCTTGATATTAGAAAGGTTTGGGTATTAGAAAGGTGGAGAGACAATGTGGGTACCCACAGCTACAGGCATGAGGATTATCTGGGAAATATTTGCAATAGCTTAGGTCAGGTGACGAAGACTTGGTTTAAGGCAGCAATCCTGGGGACTGAATGGTAGTAATACCTTTGAGACTATTTAGAAGGTAAATTGACAGGTCTTAGTGACTGCATTTTGGTAGTGAGGGTTCAAGTCTCAGTGAGATGAGACTCAGGGTGGAAGTGACAACCCAGTGACTGGTGGCACCATTTACTAAGCTTTACACAGCAGTGTTCTTTCTTTGTGTGTTTTTTAAACAATAATAATAATTAATTTTTTTTTACAGGAATAACATTCATAGCTAGATATTAATTTTTATCTCTAGATAAGAGTGATTGCTACTCATGTAACACCTTGAACCGAGGGTCAATAATTGTCTCATTTTTCCATTTATTTATAGAAATTAGAAAGAAAGTTTTGGTTTGCTATGAAATTAAATTTTCTAATTAATTTCAAAACCAGTCAGAAAGTGTAGGATGTAAAAACTGGCCATGGGCAGAGTAAAAGCACATTAATTATTCAGACAGTCATCCCTGCTTATTCCATTCTTGGAGATATAGTGGCTGTCAGAATCTGTCAGCTGTAGAGTTAGTGCCCTTCAGAATTTACATGCATAAATGGTGACCTTTGGAAATTTGCATA